GTTAGTGCAGGTGCAGGAGAATGCCAATGCACAAACGTCCACCCTTTACCAGCGTTCAACCCTGCAGCCTTCCCTCATTTGACTTAACACATGGTGCGAAGGCAAGGAAGAGAAGGCGAGAAAAGCCAGGCAAAGCGTCACTAACAGGGTCATCTTCTTCTGCCCTCAAAACGCACTGAAACGGCAGGGAACTCATTCCTAGGTGCGCTGAACAAATTCCTCTCTCCACAAATGTTCAAACTACCCGGTTCCTCTCGTGAATGGGGTGACGACCCCACCCAGCAACCGAAATACTTCAGGTGTGAACTGATAAGAGTTCATCTGAGTCCTTCTGGGCCCTGGCACAACCACTGCTGCCAGCACCGAAACCTCTGTCGCCAACGCGGGCTGGTAAATTCACCTCCCGGTGAAACGTTTCAGCCCCAGACTAAGCAGTGAGGACGGCAACATGGGAACTGTGCTTGAATAACCTCCGCCACTGCCACTCAGCAACTGGAGAGCCAGCCTAAACTCCTACAGTATCCGAGACGGGCTAACCTGTCACAGCCAGGCTGTCTTCATGCTGGTGTTAATGGGAGGGCTAAAGCATCGTGATTCACCTTGCTATTTATCTTACTGAATTGAATTAGATTCCTTGGTGCTGAAAACATGGTGCGTGATGCATTGCTACTTAGCATCGGCTAGTATTAGGGACCGGTAGTATCAAATAGTTAAGCAAATTCAGATAAATCCATAGATGGTTACTGGTGAAATCCTTCCATAGTTGGTTTGCCTGGTTGAGGGGGGAGAGGTGCACGGAAGAAATCTTTCCAGCATTAAAAATACAGGGTCAGGTCTTCAGCTGGAGTAAACTGGCATTGCTCCACTGATGTCAGCGAGGCTCTATCGATTTACAACAGCTGAGCGCCTGGCTCCAAATGGGCACCCTTCACATTTTTTTTAATGCACAGCACCCCTCGCTCCTTCCTAGCTGACTGCTCTGCCCCAAAATGCAGTCTGCAATTCTCCAATGGAAGAAGCGTTTTTTGTCTTGCAGATGCCTATGCCCCAGGGAGGTCCTACTGGAAACAGAAAAAAAAAAATTGTGTCAAAAACTAGATGAAAAATATGCTTTAATATTGCTGAAGAGTCCTGCAACCTTACAGTGCCCTCTGGGTTTAGCTGAAATGTAAGACTAAAGAAAAATCATCCCATAGATGAGGGACAGCGCCTTTACATCTACCCCATGCTCCAGAACATCCAAAATAACACCTCGACGGGAAGGGGCCTGATTCAGCAATCCTGTTTGCTATTTAGCACAGCTGCCAAGGATGTCTTTAGCTCTGACTCGAAGCAGGCGCTGATAACCAGGGACCTTAACGCTGTCAAAAGGGGAGCTAATAAGGGAAGTGCACCTAACAGTTCAAGAGGATAACCAAATTATTTCAGCCCCCTCGTTTTTGAGGGAACGTTTGATTTGTGTGGGAATGAGCAAGGAATCAAAAGCTTTGAACTGAACAGTTAGTTTAGCCAAAAAAAAAACAAAAAAAAAAAGAGGAAGAATGTAACTTTATAGGTAGTTTTTTATTAGTTTGCTTCACCAGTAAATATGGATCAGTACTTTGTTTTAGCACTAGAGTATGAAAATTACACACCTGTAAAAATGGCATCTAACAGTTATGAAATTAAGAAACGCCTGTCTTCATCATGTAACATACCATTAGGTGTGAGGTCACGTTCAAGAAAGCGTAAGGAAATTAATGTTTGAAATATCGAATAGCTTAGTAATGTGAAATATTGCTACCGTCACGTCTCTGAAAGCAGACCTGATTGTAGGTTGTAGCATAGTTTTCACTGTATTAGCTAGGGTGGAAATAAAATCACGGCATTTTCCTGCCACGTGGCTGTTTTAAAAACTAAAATTGACATTTCTTCCTGAAGCCGTAAATTCGAAATCCATGACTGTGTCCCAGTATGAGTTGTTGTGTTTTATGTTTTCTAATGTCATTTTTTTCTGTGTTCCATGTGAAGCAATTTTTAAGCCTTCCAGTACACAGAACAGGGATCTGAAACAGTACAAAAGCAATTGCTTCAGCTCCCCATGGCTAGTCCATCTCAACTGTAGCTAGTAATCACCTAACACATTTTGTCAAGAAAGGATGAACATTGCTCATCCACTCTACTGCCATGCAGAAGACCTATACCAATGACCAACGTGAAATGAAGATTAAAACAATAAATATTAGGAGCATGAAGGGAAACAGTATTTCTTGTAGTCAGAATCCATCGGGTCTAGCATCTAAGATTTAAGATTCAGGGGTCACCGTTAACAAAACTTCACTGCATCGAAACTAAAAAAGTAGCATATGCTTGTTGTCATGGAATGTCACATCAGGGCTTGCTTTTGTATTAGAATATTATAGGCAGTAACACTGATCATATAGTGCAAACTAGATAAAATTGCGTTTCACTGTGTGAAATAAACAGAGGTGCAAATGCTCAGTAGGATACCATTAAGACATAAAATGGCAAAAAATAAATATCAAAACTTTTATCAGTGTAAAAAAGTAATTGGGTTATTGTATAACCTAGAGTCTGGCAAAAAAAGGCCTCAAAAAAGTTCACTCAGTCTCCAGAAGTTCTACAAAGTAAGTGCCTTTTCAGGGGTCCAATTAGACAAGAGACTCCATGCTTTCTGCCGGATCCGACTCATCGTTGGTCATCACAGCACCGTTTTTGTCCAGTGTCATGGGGCCGTTTCCGTTTTCCTTAGTGCTGACCAAGCTGAGCATCGCTTTATAAAGAAATTGGTACTGTTCCTGGAATGCAAAGGACAACACCTTTAATCCCTAGGCTGCTTAAGAGGATTGCATTGACATTTCTGCATTTCCAGCCCGTGGAGATTCGTAAGGAAGGAACCCCCTCCTTTCACCTGGAAAGCGTCGTGCCAGCCAAAGAACCAGTAATGCCTGTAGACTGCTGTGGTCCAGATATGCTCAAAACCAACCTTCAGAGTCAAGACACTGGTTTCAGCTGTCTCATACAACCTCCTGCCGTCTTCCCCACACTTCCAACCTGTCAGGTCGGTCAACTAGAGGGCTTAAACGACGGAATCAAATTCCCCCCATTTCCTGCAGATGTAACAAGCAACTCTTCCCACGCTCATGATCTTGTTCTGATTATGAAGCAGTTACTAACTCTGAAGTTTCTCTAGAAACTCCTCACAAATTGGAAGCCAAAGACTGTAAAGAAGAGC